CAAGGAGCCTCCAAGTCGCAATGACTTGGGCGGCCCAGTAGGGGGAAGGCTGGGGTCCTTTCTCCCGCAGTAGGCTTCTATCTCCCCAAACCCCTACATCTGGAACCTGATTCAGGGTCCTCCAAGCAGGTTTTTGGTTACCAACCTTCCCAAGGACCAGAGAAAGGCCCAAGCGCTATGCGGTCTTATTGGGGAGCTGGTGGACCAGAGGGTTCTGGTTCAGGTGCCTCAAAGCGAACTGACTACGGCCTCTGAATCAGGCTCTAAAGTACAAGCACTTCAGAATGGAGTCAATCTATTCTGTAAGGGGTATCCGTTTCCAGGGGTGCTTCATGGCTACACTAGATTTGAGTGATGCTTACTTCCACATTCCCATCCATCAAGCAAGCCAGAAATACCTGAGGCTGGCGATAAAGATAGGTTCACAGACCTTCCATTGGCAGTTTCGGGCCTTGCCCTTCGGACTGGCATCAGCACCGAGGATCTTTACCAAGGTTTTGGCAGAGGCTCTGTTCCCCTGAGATTAAGGTCGATCACGATAGTACCGTATTTGGACGACTTGCTCTTTGTGGCCAGGTCTCGTCAACAGTTGGTCGAGGACTTACGGGTAGCTCAGAATCTCCTTCATCGTCTGGGTTGGCTCATCAACAGGAGAGAAGTCTGCTCTTATACCCTCCCAGAGGATGGTTTACCTGGGGTACGAAATTTTGTCTCTAGAGGAAAAGATTTTTCTACCTCGAGAGAAGGTCATAAAGATGGATCAGACACTGGCAAGGTTGCAGTGCAGCCTGGCGGTCTCAGTAAGGGAAGTCGCAGCAGCAGTAGGTCTCATGACATCTTGTTTCCTGGCAGTTGCGTGGGCAAGGTTCCACCAAAGACCACTCCAGGCTTTCTTTTTGAAAGTAAGGGACGGAGACAGCTTGGCACTAGAACGGATCATCCAGCTTCCGTCCAGAGTCAAGAGGTCTCTTTGGTGGTGGCGAAGGGAAACAAATTTGACCGGAGGTCTGGATGGGGACAGTTAGCTCCGCTCATTTTGACTACGGACGCCAGAAGTTTTGGTTGGGGAGCCCACCTAGAGGGGAGGACGGCTCAAGGAAGGTGGCCCCGGAAAGACTAGTTAAGACCCCAAATCAAAGGGAGCTGATGGCAGTTCAGAAGGCCTTGGAGGCTTTTCAGGCAAATTTGGAGTACCATCACTTGCAAATTCAATCAGACAACATAGCGACAGTACCCTACATAAACAAGCAAGGGGGTACACAGAGTCCTTCGCTTCAGGAGGATCGCAGGCAGTATTCTGACCTGGGCGGAACAGAATCTGCGGTCGATATCGGCAGTTCATTTAAAGGGATTGCAGAATTCCCTGGCGGATTTTTTAAGTCGTCGACCTCTCAGTCACGACGATTGGTCTCTCAACCAGGAGGTTTTTAAAGAGATAGTGTGCAAATGGGGAAGTCCAGAAGTGGATCTATTTGCGTCACGGAAAACAGAAAGGTAGATCGTTTTTTTTCCCTGAATCCACGAGAGCAGAGCTTGGGGATAGACTCTCTGTCGACCTCTTCAGACTTCAGTTTGACCTATGCGTTCCCTCCGATCAGACTGGTCCCGGCAGTCCTGCAAACATTTTTGAAGGACGGATTTGGTCTTAAATCGCACCCTTTTGGCAAAAGAGACCCTGGTTCTCCCTACTGAAAAGGCTTGCTTCAGCTCACCCGTTTCCTCTCCCAGAGAGAGGGATCTGATTTCGCAAAGCCCTCTTCTGCATCCGCAGGTCAAGAACTTACGGTTGACGGCTTGGTTTTTGAGGAGCAGATCCTCAAGGCCAGGGGATTCTCCGATTCGATGGTAAGGACTTTGGTAAACTGTCGTAAGCCAGTAACCAGAGCCATTTATGCTAAGGTCTGGAAAAAGTTTGCCTCATGGTGTTCAGGCCGGCTGGGGCCTCTGGACATCCCAACGATTTTAGATTTTTTTCAGGAGGGTGCAGATTGGGGCCTCTCGATCAGCACCTTGAAGGTACAGGCTTCAGCTCTAAGCATTTTTCTGCAGGTCTCCTTGCAACAAAATCCTTTTGTAGTGGATTTCTTCAGATCTCTTTCCAGGTCTAGGCCTACTAAAGTTAGGTCCTGTTCGGTTTCGGATCTGTCCTTAGTTCTAAAGGCCTTGATTCGTGAGCCTTTTGAGCCTTTGGAAGAGTCAACAATTAGGTTCTTAACCTTAAAGATTGTATTTTTGGTAGCTATCATGACAGACCGGAGGGTGAGTGAACTACAAGCGCTTTCTATTAGGGAGCCTTACCTGACCATTCTTAAAGACAGGGTAGTGCTTAGGACGGATCCAGGTTTTCTCCCTAAAGTATCCTCTTTTCACAGGTCGCAGGATATAGTTCTACCGACCTTTTGTTCTTCCTCTGAAGGTAAAGAGGAGGAAAAGCTAGGGTTACTAGATGTGAAGAGGAGTCTTATGACAGACAGATCCCGGGAATTTAGGAAGTCAGATTCCCTTTTTGTTTTGTTTTCGGGGCAGTAAAGGGGTTTTGCAGCGTCTAAGGCCACAATAGGCAGGTGGATTAGGCTGACAATAGGGGAGTCCTACAAAGTTTTAGGTATTCCGCCTCCTTTTGTTAAAGCTCACTCAACTAGGTTAGCAGCTTCCTGGGCAGAGAGGGCCGGGGCTTCGCCGGAGGAGATCTGTAAGGCAGCCACTTGGTCAAAATTCTCTACCTTCGTGAAGCATTACCGCTGGATCTCCTGTCTGGTAGGGAGCAGGCGTTCGGACGCAAGGTCCTCCAGGCGGTGGGCCCACCCTAAAGGGGTAAGTTCTTGATTATTGTCTCAAGGGCTGTCCTGGAAGACGTAAGGAGAAAACCAGAGTTAGACTTACCGGTAACTCCTTTTCTACGAGTCTTCCAGGACAGCCGGTAGTTCCCACCCTTCTAATGTTCAACCAAAATATTTAAGGTTGAGTATATAGATATATAGTTATGTATAATTGTGTCTTTCAGTGTCTTCCGCTAGTTCTCGATTAAAAACTGAGTTGGAGGCCTGGAGGTCCGCCTTTTAAAGGCGTGGGGGAATGGCGTGTTTCCTGACCCAGAGGGAGGAGCTCTATGTCTCAAGGGCTGTCCTGGAAGACTCGTAGAAAAGGAGTTACTGGTAAGTCTAACTCTGGTTTTTTACCATGCAGAGCTGCACCAGAGTTTGCACTCTCCAGTTTTAGTAAATTAACCCCATAATGCCATATCTATAGTACAGCAGCCACCATTAGTAGCGATTTCCTTTGTTTTGTTCTTGTCCCATGCATTATATGCTCCTTAATATATCATAGTAGTGATTTTTTTCGGCTACCTCTGGAGTCTTTTAATGTTGTTTGGTTGCACAGAGACAGACTCCTTAAAAGATATTTTTATTTTTTTCCCTGGCCCTGAATGTCTCATCCCTAAGCCAGACCAAGGATTTGAAAGAGGAAGCTAGCTGATTTAAAGATGGTGGTGTCATCACTGAAAGCAGTCATTGATGCGTGGAGGTTAATGAGGGTACAATTCAGAGTTGTTATAATTCTTGGTGAAGCACATTGTTTATATAAAACAGGTTTTCAAGGTTACAAGTGGGCTTAGAATTCACTTTAACCACTTCTATACTGGGCCAAATCTGACACTGCTCACTTATATTTAAAAATCAACATTTTTTGCTAGAAAATTACTTAGAAGCCCCAAGCATTATATATTTCTTCAGCAGAGGCCCTAGAAATTATTATTATTAGAATTATTGCTCTCGCTATAATGTTTACGAGGATACCTCACATGTGTGTTGCGAACACTGTTTACACATGCGTGTGTGACCCACATATGCATTTGCCTTTACGTGCAAGCATGGGGGAAATAGGGGTGCTTTAAAAAAATGTTTTTATTTTTACACTTTCCCTTTTTTTTTTTTTTTAAATCACTTTTATTGTTTTTAGAGGGAATGTAAACATCCCTTGTTCTATCAATAGGCAGTGAAAGGCACTCTTTACTGAAAGATCTGGGGTCTATTAGACCCCAGATTTCTCCTCTGGTCTTCAAAGCAGGCGATCAGACAAAGCCTGGTCTGACTGGCTGCTTTCCTGGCTGCCAACGGCCAGGTAAACAAAGTGCCGAAGCCAAAGTGCCAAAATACTTGTCACTGGTTCTGGTATCACAGAGGGAAGAGCATCGAGTCTGTCTCTGTGTAGTGCAGCTATTGCCGCCAGTCGCAGCGGTCCCGGGCTCCCCGCATGGCCGGTCAGTCACCCACAGAAGTGTTCTGTTCAGCCACTCTAATAACTTCTGTCTAAAAGAGAATCGGCAGCTGTGAATTTTGATACCAGGATGCGTACAGGTATCCTCCTGGTATAACCACTTCGCTCCCAGAATGTCATAAGATGTCCACCCAGGGGAAGTGGTTAAGGCACACCAACTCATCCTTCCTCATGGTAAAACAAAGAATCTCTTACAGTGAATGTGTTTTTTGTTCAGGAAAGTCAATTTTTTGAAGTACCTTCGAATTACATATGTCATGTCAGTGAAGGTGCTGATCAGTATTTTTCTATGACTGTTCACATGACTGTTTATTCGATAATCTACTAGTGTGTGGCCAGATTAACCCTTGAACTGCACTCTTCCCATTGTGTACAAGCTCTGCCCCCTCCATGAGGGCCTACCATGTCAGCATTCACACACTACTCTACACCTTCTATGGACTTACCTTAGCAGTCAATTATGCTGGTTATACTCCTACCTCCAAAAGTTGATTGGGAGGTATCTTGGGTTTTGCCAATTCAAGCTCATGACAGCTATTTCTCATCAGTTATATCTGACCGGCACTACATTTATTTAATGCAGCCTTTGTAAAAATCTTAGTGTTTATTACACACACACACACTATTTTAATGGCACGTACACTTCCATTACCAGGATTTAACCTTGCTAGCCCATAATACAGTAACAGATTTTAAATACAAAATAGACAATTTTTTTTTACCAGATTTGTCTATGATTGCATCTACTTCCTCAATGACATCAAAATAGGCCTCATTGTTGGTGTACTTGACTTCAGCTCTTCTCCATGGGATGTTGGACAGTTGTCCAGTGGGTAGAGTTTCTCCCATATTGCTACTCCCTGTGAAATAAGAGGAAAAATATTGTGTAATAGCTGATCCTGGGCTTTAAAAAGGAATATAGCAGACCAAATATTAATAAACCACTAATTTTCAAGTTCAAGTAGATCTGGCATAAAAAAAAAAACAATTATCTGGCAGCTCCAAGATTAATAAAATGCACAAAAAAACATATTTTCCGCCCAGGTCTTGGGCTTTAAAAAAATCGCTTGCAGTGGGGCTGTGCATGCACTGCAAGGGTATTAACTCATTTTGTCCAGGGGAGAGCAGAAGCACTTTTACTTACCTGATCCTCCACACCCCCAGCAGACGGCACTCCCCCATGTACTGGCAGTGGACTGTTCTTTGGCGCTCTCACGTCCAGAACAGGACTATAGATCCTGCTCTGGTCTTTCTGATGTCAAGACCATAGACTACTAGAGCGCATGGGATGCAGAAGCTGCAGAGTCAGCAGTGGGGAGGAGTGAAGGGTCTGTTAATGATATATTTCCTTTGATTCTTCCCCTAGACATAAACAAGCAAATAACCCTTGCAGTGTATGGACAACCCAAGTGTAAGGGGAAAATTTATTTTGTTTGCCTAGAGTTGGGATTTAAAAATAATCCTATTACACCCTGGTTTACTGATGCTTCCTGTAGGCGTCAATGTCATTGGACATCACTGCGCAATTCTTGGAGATTGGAAATTTACAGAGAGAGCATTATAGCACAATGCAGATGTACACACTTGTGAGATTTGATATCTTCAGCTTTCCCAAGACCCTGTGAGGAGACGGAAAGTTGTCTCCCTCAAATAGGTGAGCATGCTGGAAGCTGGGGTGAGAGGTGAGTATCTTTTACATTTTGCTTTAAATTTTATGTGATGTATTTTACTAATAATTTTTAATACCAACTGAAAATACTTATTGGCTTCCCTTAAATGAGATAAAACAATCTCAGCTATAGTAATAAAACAACAGAATTTACAATCTATGGATTACCTTTAATGGCTGGGGCTGCTACAGACCAGTATGAGTACTCACATTCACATTTATTGATGTTAAAAGATCAATAACTACAACTTGTGCCAACAAAGAAAAGTGGATGAGAAGCATGCTGCTTTTTAAAATAACATTAAAAACACTTCATGGTAATGCATCTATTCATGCCACGTAGAGCTCAGCACTACATCAAACAGCATTCTGCTTTGTCAGTTTACCTTTAACCTTTCCACACACAAACTGTTCCAGCTCACAACTATTATCTACAGATTACATGAGCAATCTGCTGAGCAGAGGTCACACAGCTACATTAAAGGGAAGCTTTAGTGTATGGTTAGTGAGTGTACATTTACTGGAACTTGTACAGTTACATTTTTGGTGCGACTTCCATTTTTTAAACCAAACTTCATGTAAAACTAAAGAAACTATTGAAACAGAAAAAGGTTAAAAGAGCTGTGTTGCTACTTAAAAGTTATTACAAAAATATAAAAAGATGCAGAGAAAAGAATACTTTCCTATCCCAATGCCAATGTTGTCGATCTTTGCTCTACTGAAGAGCTAAGCTGGTTTGAGTCTTTCGTGTCCAACTCTTTCAGGTGTGACAGATGTATAGTTCCAGCTAAATGCTTGGAGGAGTCATAGTCACACACAGCACGGCTTGGTCCTGTCCTCCCCCCCTGCACCCTCCTTACAGGATTTCATTGACAGAAGCAGGAGTCAATGGTTCCAACTGCTTTCAGAGTCCTGTGAGGAGGGGAAGAGCGAGCAGTGCTGCTGCACTCAGGCACAGCGCTGGATCAAGATAGGACTCAGGTAAGTATATAGGGAAGGGGGGCATGAGGGGCGATACAACTGTTGGGATTTTTTTACCTTAATGCATGGAATACATTACAGTGCTTGTAAAGACCGAAGGTTTTTTACAGTCATACATTCTATGCATGAAGGTAAAAAACCTTCTGTGTGCTGCTCTTCCACAGCTCCACCTAATACTCACCTGAACCCCTGTTGATCCAGCGATGTGCACGGGAGCCTCAGCTGTCCCAGGACTCCCTCTCCTCATTTGCTAAATCAGCAGCGGGGCCACTGGCTCCCATTGCTGTCAAAGCCCATGAGCCAATGAGGAGCGAGCTGGGGGAGGGGCCGAGCCACGGCTCTATGTGTCTTATGGACGCATAGAGCAGGGCTTGAGACTGAGCACACCAGTGCCTCCATAGCATGCAGCTTGCTACTAGGGACATTGGTAAAGGGGGAGGAGCCAAGAAGAAGAGGAGGGGGGCTGCTCTGTGCAAAACCATTGCACAGAGCAGGCAAATATAACATGTTTGTTAATTATTTTAAAAAAGCCAAAACTTTGAGATCACTTTAAGGTAAAAAAAAATGTTATGCCTTTACAACCACTTTAAGTATACTTAAATGTTCCTTTGGACTCATCTGTGATGAAATAAAATATTTTTGTAGTGTGCTTGAGAAAAACTGAGTGAGTGTGTTACAGACCTGTGAGGGAGTTCACTACAGATCTCAGGATTGTTGGGGGTTTGATCAGCTCCTTCAAGATATTTGACTCTGTTGCCAAAGGAAATCCATTATCCAACATCTCTTCCAGCAGCTCATACACAATGACCACGTTATCCTTCAAGCAGGTCTCTGAGCACTCCCCAAAATAATCCTGGCAGACATTTATAGAAACAAGACAAGTGCACATGACATATATGATAGTTAACAAATGACAGGACATTACAAACTGTGCCCACACTGTACTGAACAGATCTAGCTGGAGTGTTAACAGATACCTAATTATAAAGGTTGAACTGAATAGTTGGCCCTTTTATCCATGGTTTAGCTGCTCTGGTCAAGGTATCAAATCATTTTCATTGCATTTCAACTAAAAATAAATCAAAGTAAATGTAGATACACTAATTTTGTAAAATATATCCAGTCTGTATATTTTATCCACTTTTTTGGTCATATCAAAGTGGAAAATTGGCCATTAAAGCACTATTTTTATTACCACTTGTTGCCCTTTTGGGGAGATACACCTTCATACATACAGTGATGGGAAATCTATCCAAATGTGAATACCAACAAAAACGAAAAAATGTTTGTAGTGTAAGGAAGGGTTAGAACTCATGACAATCTCTTTATTGCTGTCTGAGCCTTCTTGTTCTGGTGACAGCTGTAACCCTTATTTCTTGTAGAGACGTTTAGTGACAGTAAGAAAAGTCTCCCCAATGATTTCACAGATAAAAATTAAAAACCTGTAAGAATGAAGTTATAAAGAAAAAAAATTAAAAACCTTACAGATATTTGCAGCATCTAAAAACAAAAGCGTAATATATTGCAGCTTACTAGTCCTTGCAGTGGTGGTGGTGGTGTGTGGTGGCTGTATTGTTTATTTCCAGGCCTTTTTCCTTTATTTTCACCTGGATATATCTGTAAGTAACACTTCCTGTCACTTTATGGCTATGCTCCCTCCTTCAATGTATCCATTGAGGGAGCCATGATTGCCACACAGGCTGAACTTTAACTGCTTTCCCTCTGCCCTATAGTAAAAATACTGCTAGATTGTGGCAGGGCTGCACAAAATCACGTATACATATATGATTTTGCATTTCCTGGTAGGGGGCGCGCTACCATTGGTGGCCTCAGCTGTTAATCACTGGGTCCCGGCCGGTGATTCCCTGCCGGCACCTGACGATCACCGACGGTGGAGAGACCTGCATGTAAACAATACAGATCTATCCCGTCAGCTCCTGCACATTGCTTTATATTGCTTTGCATAGCGCAAAAAATAGAAATGCACAGGCGATCAAATACCACCAAAAGAAAGCTCCATTTGTGGGAAAAAAAGGACATAAATTTCATTTGGGTGCAGTGTTGCATGACCACGCAATTGTAAGTTAAAGTAACGCAACAAATGGCCTGGTCAGGAAGGGGGGTAAATCCTCTGCAGGGCAAGTGGATAAAAATGTCTGCCTTTTATCTCCATTATATGGTAGTTTATTGGGATTGTTAGTTTACAAAAGAAACATAACATTGTATTGTTATCTTTTTAGCTCACAGAAAGTGACAAGAACACTTATGCATTCATGGTAAGATAAGCAGTTATTTCTGTACTTGCTAAAAATATTCTTACCCTAAAAAAAAAAAAAAAATATATGAATGCGGCCACCACATCTGAGGTCTGGAAAGCTACAATATATTAAATGTTTGCTCTTGGTTTTAACTATGGTATAAGTGAATGTCTTGCTCAGCATGTGCAAAGTGCAGGTTCACATTATTGAACTGATGAAAATGTAAGTGGCAAAATAGAACAAAGTGAAAAGCAATTATGTAGCAAAGTTTTATAAACAAACAGTCCAGCTTGAATTACTTTAAGGCTCCACTTCGGAATAAAACTATTTATTTCTCACCTCTCCTTCCAACCCCCTAACCCATCCTGACAGTCTTTTTTCCCCCTCTTAACTTGTTAAGCCAGCAATACTCACCTAAATTTCTCATCCAGGTCCCTCAATGACGCTGGTTCTGGTGCAGGGGGGGCACTAATCTACTGCTGTGATGGTGCCCTGAGACCACCGGTCCCTTACTCTCCTCCTGTGAGGGCTTAAGTTCTCCTCTCTTCTGAGAGGATCCTGCAGTCAGCTATCCAACAGAACTGTTCATGTTACTTAGGCAGTGATGTGCACACTCAAAAAAGGGCCTCAAGCAGGAAGTAAACAGAATAGGAGAAGGCCTGGGGCTGAAGTTTCACATGACCATGACTTAAAGTGGAACTAAAGTACAGTAAATAATAATAAAACAGTGAGCACGCAAGCCCTTTGATGCAGAAGAGACATGCAACTCCTGTGCATGGTCAGACACCCACAAGGTTCTTCGCCATCACCGGCATCTTTTTCCCACCTTCTTCTAGCTGCCGTTTTTTGGCAATGTTCACTGGCCAGCTCAGGATGCTCTCACTTTTGTGAGGGCATCCTGAGTGAGGGCTGCCCGTGAGGGCATCCTGAGCTGGCCAGTGAACATGGTCAAAAACCGGCACCTAGAAGAAGATGGGAAAAAGATGCTAGCACTGGCGAAGAACCTTGTGGGTGTTTGACCATTCAAGCACAGGGGGGTATCGCTGGGTTTAGTTCTGCTTTATGGCAAGTAAAAAGGGGCATTTAGATAGGACATTTTTGATTTTTATACTACAATGATCAGTAAGGGAGGGGGGTGTTCACCATATCTGTATTTAAAATATTACCTTTAAAATATACACCAACATAGGTATTGTAAATTGCATTAACAATTATCCTCAAATGTTAGCAACCTAAAACTCATACTTCTAATAGTGGCCATACACACTTTAGCTTTATGTGTTCAATTTGATCAAAACAATCGAATCCACAAACAGTCATAACTTCTGATTAATTTAGACTCAATTTTGATCAAACTGAGTAGATCAGCCAGGGTGCAAAACTAAGATACTTTGTTCATAAAGGCATTTCAGGAGGAGGAGCCTGACCATGGCGGCAGGGGAGAGAGCGATGTGAGCGCTCTCCGTGGGACAGCCACCCTCACCCCATCGTTCCTAAGAAACATGCTGCCGAGGAAGCCCAGCTAAACCCTACCTTTGAGAGGGGGTCCCGCCTGAAGAGCGGAGAGGACGGAGCTTTCGGGGACCGTGGCAGTGGGACGGACTAAGCCTCTCGTCGGATGCAGCGGGCTGCTGGGAAACTAGGGGACGCGAGGCGGTCACGTGACCTCCCGCAAGGGAGTACTGGGAGGAAGAGAAGCCGGCTGTCTCTCCTAGTCAAAGGGAGACGCCGGCTCTCTCACTGACAGGCCACGAGGACCCAGCTTTGGGAGAGCAGCAACGCTGTAAGTCGGACGGCGTTCTAAAGAACCGGGGAAACGCCGTCCCAACGAAGGGGAGTCCTGTTTTGCTGACCACCTGTGGAGGAGGGGAGCAAAGGATAAAGAGAGGAACCTGGAGGAATCCCCCAAAAGAGGAAATAAAGCCTGAAGGGACCCCTGAATAGAGGACAACGAGCCTGAAAGGCAGCCTTCCTGAAAAAGCAGTCGGAGAAGGGTGAGTGAGAGTGGCTGAACTACACATTAAATTTGTATATGGACTGTAAAATACGGAAGCAGGAGAGGAATAAATAGGGGGGATTCCCAAAGGGGCAGAAGAAATGGACCTTCTTTAAAAGGACGTATTACAGCATATGCCCTAAAGGTTTAAAGGAGAGAGATAGGACCTACAGAAAATATGAAGAGTAAAAATAGTAAAGGGAGCGGTCCCAAGCACTCCCAATCTGGAACGATTAGAAAATATACATCCCAGGGTAATGTGACCCCAGAAAGATCTCAGGGGATATGTGAAAGAAGTATAATGGAAAATAGTATGAATAAGAGCGTCAGGTCATCTGGGAAATGCATAATAATAGCCAATTAATACTAGAGGGAACAGAGCTGAGAGAAAATGAAGGAGAACTACAAATCCCAAATAAAAAGGAGATGGCAGAAATGTTTAGAAATTTGGAAAAATCTATTAAACAAGAGATGGGAATCATCCGGAATGATTTAGGACATTTATTATCAAGAGTAGAAGAAACAGAAGAAAAAAATTAAAAAACATGATCAAGCTATCCCTGAATTGAGAAATCAGTTAATGGAGATAAGGAAAGCACAAAATAAGCTGTGGCATAAGCTGGAGATACAAGGTAACATGCATAGAAAAAAGAACCTCAGAATAAAAGGAGTCCCGGAACCTGCACAAGGAGAAGATTTAAAAGGGACAATACATAACATTTTAAACTCCATTATGGATAAATCTAGTACAGAGACATGTGAACTGGATAATGTATACAGAATAGGAAGGCTCCAACGAGAGCAGGTGGAAGAGAGACCGAGAGATGTAGTTGTACAATTCCAAAAAATGGAGAGAGAGAAGAAATATGGAAGAAGATAAAAGGAAGAACCAGTATTAAATATGAAGGGAAAAATATACAAGTTTTTGCAGACCTGACAGCTGAGACATTGAGGAGAAAGAGATCATTGAAACCACTATTAGAACAGATGAAAAAAACAGAATATACAATATAGATGGAGTAGCTCAATGTGTTTAATCGGATGGAAGAATGGAGTTACCGCATACTTAAGATTTCCTGAGGAACTGAGAGACTTTTTTGACAAACTTAACATCCAGAGAATAGAGATTCCAGGTTGGGGGGAGGAAGAAGGAGGGATATATGCTGGGGGGAAAAGAAGAATGGCAGCAAGTTAAAAAGAGAAATAGAGAATTGATAGATAAGGGAACTTTGGGAAGGTGAACCGTACAGGGTCAGAGTTTAACCCCAGGGTCAAAAATCAAACGTGGCACTAGGTCCACAAATGATTAGAAGGCAATTAGTAGGCCTAATGGGGGGGTGGGAGGGAGAGGTGGGGGAGAGGATGGAGGGGGGATGGGAGTCGGGTCGGAGGGAGGGGAGGGGCTACTGGGTTAATACTCCGCATGATAGTAGGGATAAAGAGGAAGAGGCATTTTGGAAGAGAGATAGAGCGAACTAAGAAGGATGGAAGAAATACAGTTTATAACCTATAATGTGAATGGGTTGAGTTGTCCTAAGATTTAAGTTGTTTAAGGAGTTACATCATAGGGCAACGTCAGTGGTATTTTTACAGGAGACT